GATGCACATCACCTAATATGCTTAATTGGTAGTAGGCTTTCGAGCCTATACAGCTTGGAGTAAGACAACATGCATGAAGAGGATGCTGTGGACAAAATACTCATTTGCCTAATAATTCTGCACTCCCTGTAACGGTTTAAGTACTGCTAGCCTAGTCCCAGCCAAGTCCTGTGGCATGTAGCCGATTAATAGAGATAGTTTGATCATATATAAAAGTGAAGCATTAATTAATGGTAGGATTTCTTTGAGAAGTCTTGAGGTGGGGTGTAAAAGACACTTTGATGGTTTGGAGGAAGTAATTACTGAAATTAACTCAAAAAGATCAATGAGCACACACAGTTGATTTTCATTTATTATGCTTTTTCGTTTAGCAGCAGGACAAAAAATTACTTTGACAAGAAACCCTTCTTCATATAACGTAGTCTTCAGTTCAGCTATTCTCTTTAGAATATAACACACTTTAAAATAAATATCATAAAATACTATTTTATTATTATTATTTTTACAGTTCTCCTGAGATTGAAATCAAGTTTAGAAACAAACTAAAGAAAGGAAGGTTTCAACTTGTTCTCAGGACTCAGGACCAGAGATGCAGAGGTAAATAAGAAATGTATTGTATTTACTTATTTATTTTTGTTGTGGGTGGTGGGGGTTCTTTCATAGGACGTTAGAGCTGTGTATCCTAGCAGATTAGGTTTTGTACACACAAATATTTAAATGCAAATCTTTAAAAAAAATGTATGGAACCACTGAGAACCCAGATTTCGAAAGTTTTTGTGACTGACAGAGAAAAAAATTGCTGTAATAATGAAGTAAAATGCAACAAGGTACAATGGCTAAATTTAGTAAGGAAAAAATGAAAGCATCAGACATGATATAGAAACTGTACCCTTGCTTACATTAATTCATGAAACAGAAATTTCATATTTTAGCTACATTATATCCTTTTCTGTGGGTTTTCTTCAAGACATTATCTCGTTGCATTCTGTTTTTTCTTTTCTTTTTTTTTTTTTTTTTTTTTTTTTTTACAAGGATCTCTTATACCGAATAGGAAACACCAGCCATGCTATCACTCCACTTCATATAATCATATAAACGTTTTAGATATAAAAATCTGGGCTTTTCTGTAGAATATGTTGTTAAAATTGGGGAATCATTTTGATATAAACCAGGTTAGCTTTCAGTTTTCAGCTGACATGAACAGCAACGGAATTACAGTCATTTTTAACTACATTTTTTCTTCATCCGTTTTATCAATATTAATAACACTGTAATCACCCATTTATTTGCTTAAATCTGTAGAGTTGGTGAAATAAAGTATTTTATTAATAAGAAGTATTTTGAGAATACGGAAAATGTCTGAAATACTTCCTGACTGCACAGGAAAACTGGGTGCACACATCTACAGATGGTATAGTAGGAAGTTATCTTAAAATAACAATTTCACGAGTAAAACTCCTAAGAAACTTTTGAGAAGATTCTTTCATTTGTGTCTCTATCAGAGGAATCAGCTGCTCGCTAAGAGAAGGTAGCACTTTGTGAAAGTTTACATACCTTTAAGGGTAGAATTAACAGCTTTAAAGTTGGTTGGTTAATTGGTTGATTGCAATGCCCATTTTTAAAAGATGTTCGTTGGTCTGTTTTTTCATTGCAGAATTGGACCCCAGAATGCTCTTTGATAGACTCTCTGTTTTTAAGGCATGTTCAATTGAGGAAAAAATACCTCTAGGATAGGTATTTATGAGTGACCCTTATAAGTTGCTGTGGGTGGGTAAACTAAACTCTGGAAATAATTACAAACTATGTCCCTCTATTGTTCTTGCTGTTTTGGCCTCCTAGAGCCTTTCACAAAGAGTGTTCTTAATAATTTATATTGTTTTGGTGCACCTCATCTCACAATGAAAAGAACCTGCAAGTCGATCCTAGAAGTACGTTCCCGGAAACAGGCTGGTTGAAGCATGAATATCCAGCGTGAATTTGAAACAGCAGCTTTTTGGAAGGGCTAACTATCTTGCAAAATCAAACACAGCTTCAGCCAATATTAAATATGCAGAAAATCTTAAGGAAGATTTTGTTCCTTGGAACATTCCCAGAGTTCAGGTACTAAGGCGGTGAGCAAAATGATGTTATTACTGATATAAATACCCACCAAATCTATAAAAATGTAATTAAAGTCACAAATTTAAGCAACTACAAACTCTGAAACCTGCTGGAGTACAGAGAAGAACAGTTTTGGACAATCGCCTTTTGTCATGAAATCAGTGTCACATTTGGATCACATGATTATGAGCGAGAAAACAGCATTCATGGTGACAAATGTCTGATATGCTATGAATAAAGGGAGTGAAAAATAAGCTAATAAGTTAACCTTTACAGATTTGGACACTGAAATGGTCTCTAAATTCTTTCTTTCTTAACTATGAATTTTGATTGTTAGGTTTTATTTTTTGGTGGATTTGTTTTTAATGAAACACTAGTCAAATGTGTTTGGACGAACAATGTGAATTTATGGAATAAACATGTTTAAATACAATGCCTTTCTGTATTATTTTGTTTGCAATTGGCCTCCCCCCCCCAAAAAAAACCAAACAAAACAAAAACCAACAAAAAAAACAAAAACAAAAGCTACTGGTTTCATCAAAAGCTGGTGCCTGAAACAATTAGGCAACGCAATTTTTTAGGCAATGCAGGAGTAAAAAGTGCACCTGTTTGGGACTATTTCCTGTGGTGGAAATACACCAAACACATACTTGGTTCCTTGGTATTTATACTTTGAGGGAATTAGCTGATATTAAGAAAAATATAGATGTAACTAGATTTACTTTTGACTATTAAATCTTATTGAACATTAGTCTGCACTGTTTCACTGCTGTCACTTGTCTAGTCTAGTAATCTCACATCCTGAGTTCTGGCTGAAAAATAATACTGATGACTAATGATGGAATAATTATCCATCATTATAACAAAACAAGTGACTAGTAATTCGAGGATATGAAAGTTAAGTTTCCCCTCAGAGTAACCTCAGACCAGCAAGCTAAGAGACACATGGAGCATGTCAGGACCAGGTATCAAGGGGCCACTATGGGGCTTTAAAGGGGTTAGGAGTCCCCCCCCACACACTTTCTTTCTTTCTTTCTCTCTTTCTTCCTTGACGTTCAAGTTCATAGTCATGGTTTGTATTGGAGTGTTCAAGGAGAGAGTTTTCCTTTTTTGTTTTTCCTGGATCACAAATGAAAACGCAAACAACATTTTTGTGACTGGATGTTTAAAAAATGACTCTGTCAGGTATGCTAAGTGTAAAAGGGGTATTTAGGGAAATTTAATCATGCGTGACAAAATCCTATTTAAATTCAAAGATTTTGTGCAAAAATGTACTTCCTGCCTGTTGTTGTGGTCATAGACACAACAACAGGTCATAGAAGGGATTGTTTACTGATCAGTAGGTAAGTGGCTCAATCCTTGGCTCCTCCAGTAATTTAATCAAAGTATCCTTGACCAAGAAACTGAACTCCTCATGTTGCCCCTGATGCATCCATTGGAGTGTGACTGTGTGTAAATGTTAAACAAAGTGCTGCATGAATGTGTGTGTAATTTGGTGAATGAGACTTGTAGCAGAAAGCATTTTGAGTGCTCAACCAGCTCAGGCGCACTCTCACTACTGGTAATGCGCTATTTCCTTGAGTTAAGTGAGTAAGACAGAATGAACATTTTCCGCTCTTCCATCACACGGGCACAGATTTTGTACCAGGAAGCTGTCAGGTTAAAGACAATTTAAATAGATCTGCATACACAAATTCAGCTCTTTTACATTTTACATGTACTAACAACATGCATCAGTGTGTTGTTTCACCTGGCATTACTGCCTACTTCTCTTCAGTTAACCAAAGTTCAACCCAGTACATAAGTAAACAACAAGATTGGCTATCATGTGTGCCAATCAAAAGAATTCTGTTGTTAAAGATTTAATGGGACACTAACAAATGTTATAATTAAAAGTTGTTGGGTTTTTGCCATGGCTATCCCTCCTCAGACTGCAAAAACAATTATAGATAATATTGATTATTTTGTGAATATGTCACAGTGATGCCATCAGAAGGAGGGATAATCTCATTTTAGACTTTTGCCTTATTATTTATTTATTTAGTCATTGATTTATTTTGCCTCTTTGTTGGGATATTTAATGAAGAATTTGCGAGCAGAAGTGAGTCCAGATTCAGGAATAGTTGGAATGATTTTTGGATGGACAGCATTGTGCGTTGCAACATATCTTCACAAATACACATCAAATTGAAATAAGAAAAACTGAGAGAAATCATCTTGATGTAATCTAAAAATGATTAGAAACTTATGCAGATCCAGGAAATCCTCTGGATAACGTAACTCAGTTTAGGCATGTTGTGGGTGGAGGTATGCAGACGCATTGATCTTTTAAGTCACTGGGTTTTGTGAAAAAGTTGTGCTATTTAGCAATTTTACGCAAAATGAAACTGCTCTTAATCACATGACACTAGGCCAACTGTTACAGGGGAATCTGTAGCCATTATATGCCAGGATATGATTGTAATAGAAAAATACTACATAAATTAAATTTGAATGTGATCCAGTTGTTGTTGTTTTTAGCCTTCAGTTAAAGATGGCAAAGTCTTCTTGTTAAATTTGTTAAAACACCTGTAACTTTGAATAAAATCATGTCTGAAATGCCTGGCTTTAGTTTTACAACTTTATCATCTGTTGTTATGATGGTGGGGGTGGGGGAGGGGGATTTTGGAAGACATCTATGATGATTTCTACAAATCATAAGTAACTCCTCCCCATATCACATCATTAAATCATGTAGAATTACAAGAAACAACACACAGGACATGATGTCAGTTAAAAACTTTGATCATAGTCAGAAATACATAAAGAACATAGTCATAGTCACAGTTTTAAGGATTCAGGGAGCTTCATTGCTGCTTGTGAGAGAAATCATATGATTGAGTTATATATTTTTTTTAAATAATAATTTAAGGTTACAATGAACCCTCAAATTATTTAAGTTCTTCAGTAAATGAGCCAATTAGTTAATATTGGTAAGGAAATTATTTAAAGACATTTACTCTTAAGCATCTGTAATTTGAGAACAGAAGGAGCAAAAACCATGATAAAAATGTATTTTAGTTACTTTCCAGTCTCACTTACTGATAAACTGGTGCATTAATTTGGATGAAAAAAGTGCACAAATTCTAAACACATGCATATGGCTGATTTATGAAAAACCTTCCCCTTACCACCTACAGGGCTTCTTAAGTCTAAGGACCAAAGTGTAGCTTATTTTACATGTAGCTTGGCTGAAATGTAATTGTTGACTATGCATTTTGGTGTGCTGGGGGTTCAGAGTCAGTGTTCAGGTTTTTACATCTGTGGGGGAGACTGTGCGCCGGCTGGGTCATGTAGCTTTCTGACGTGTTTCTTCAGGTCAAAGTTCCTGCAGAAGCCCTTGCCACAGGTTGGGCAGGTGAAGGGTTTCTTATCGTTGTGGGTGTGCATGTGGAAGGTGAGGTTGTACACCTGATGAAATGCCTTGCTGCAGATGGAGCACTTGAACTGCTTCTCGCCACTGTGTGTCAGCTTGTGGTTTTTGTAGTTTCCTGTGTTGAGGCAAAAGGGTGAAACTTAACAAGACATCAAGACATGGAATCTCCTTACAATTCCAAAGAATTTCCAAGAGTATATTTGCTTAGTGGTATCAGCATCACATAATCTGACTGTGAGGAAGTGAAATGGGACCAAAGCAAAAAAAACAAAACACAAAAAACAAGCAATTATACTTTACAGTACAAAAGTTATTAAATTGGTAATTGATGGTTAAAATGGTTTTACTTTTTAAACTAATTAACATTACATTTAGGTTAAAATAAAATAATAATTAATAATGTTCATATATTGATTCATAATTTGTTTTTAATGATCCTCTACAGAAATTGGATCGATGGTTATGGTAAAAATTGCAACTTATTACATAAACTAATTGCATAAGTAAAAATAAATTATAACATACTGATGTAAATCAGTCACTCATACACATATTTTAAGAATTTGTGCACTTTGTTCAATTATTAGTAAATATTATTATTGATGTTATTATTAGTATTTCAATTTTTATCACCGGCAGAAGGGAATAACTACTAACATTTTATCAATTATCAGGATACCTTTTATCAGTGATGAATACATTACTGTATGATATGAGTCCATGTGGGAAAAAAGCCCAGCAAATATTTTTCCTTATAATATTTATTTTTAATTTATTGATTTATGTTGCTTATTTTGTTTTGTTTTGTTGTTCTGAGAATTGGAAATCATGCCACATATATGTGTTTTTCGTTTGTGAAAAATACAGTTTTACTCACATTAACAACTAAAATAAGGATCACATGTTCACATTTGAGAAGCAAAATCCATCCAGTATTTGGCATTACTGCTGAAACCCTACTGAATTCTGTGATATTTAAAATAACCAAAAAAGAAACATATGTTTTCCTCCTGTTAATATGAACCAGAGGAGTGTTTTCAGAGCAATTCATCACCACAATCACCGGCATTACCTTAATATTAAATAAAACCTGAAATAAAGTACAAGTATTACCGTATTTCTAACAACATAAAAAAAGGAAAATGTACACTTAAAAATGACTTTTTGTTCTCAGTGAACACAAAGCAACACTGAAAATAATAAAGTACTGAACTGTAAAAAAAATCAAAGGTTTCTTTATGTAAAGAATTAATCACTGGCTGGTATAAACTAAATGTATACAAATTAAGTAAATTTTATTTGACCATATTCCATTTAACATTTTACACAGTACCTATGTAACAAAATTTTATTTAAATGAAAATCTAATTTACATGTACTCAAATTACTTAAAGCATTTAGTCGTAAAAGTTTTCTGTGTGTTTCATGAGGCGATGTATTGGATGTATTAGAGCTGATGTATTAGTAGATGTAAAGCAGTAGCAATACAACAGTATGAAGGGAATACATCAGTACAGCACAGTAAAACTGTAAGCATGTAGACAAATATAATGTCACAACTAAGAATGTGCGTTTCTATAGAAGATTTTTCACCACTTCATAACAGCTCAGGATGAATCCAGGGAGCGATTCCTCTTCAATTTTAACTGTTTGTTTTAGCCGTCATAGCAGACTAACCTTTTCTAAAATTACAAGTCCGGCTGATTTCAAGAAAGTAAACTTTGGTAATTGTTATGAATACATAAATACAACACAATCATCAACTACCACTCTAATGGGCCTTGGGCATTTTTTGACGCTTGGTTTGAAATAGCACCAAATATTTGGCCTTACAACATGTAACAGCTCTGCTACAGGCAGTTACAATGAAACATGTATGTTTCCATATATTTTAACAAAACAAACAAACAAAAAAGAAGCAGGAAAACAAAATAGTGCTGCTGGACAAGCATCTGTATTATTTTTGTGTCTGTTAAACTCGCATGTCTTGAATATGCTGAATTATGTTCGATTTACATTAATATATAATAATTATATATAATAAACAGTGTGGAGTCTGTAGCGAACTGTCTTCACGGGAACTTTAAACGGATTTAGCTGATTTAGCTCAGACCCGCTGTATTTGTCCACTTCTGTTACATATCATCACCTTTTGTTTTTGTTGTTTTTTCCCTCTTTATGCCAATGAATTTATCATGTTTTCGCTCTGTGTTGTTTGACCTGTAAGTTCAGTCCAGCTATATAGTGAGGATGTGGCTCTTCTCTCGGGATCTTTTGCTTTTTAGGATTTAACACCGCTCTAAAATGTAACGGATTCTTGGAATAAAATTTCTAATCAAGATGTTTTGGTTGATATATTAAATGTAATTCTTGAAAAAGGAGAAAAAACAAATAAGAAAATACTGATCCATTTTCTTTTTTTTTTTTACCGTCTCACCTTTTTGGTGAAATCCCTTCCCACAGAACTCGCACACGAATGGTTTGTATCCCGCATGGATGCGTGTGTGCGTGTTGAGGGTTGAACTCCTGTTAAAGGCTTTTCCGCACTGGTTACACTTGTGAGGCTTTTCCTGTAAAAAATTACAGGGGGGAAATAAGTAACTCAGTGGAAAATGTGCCATAAATAAAAATAGCACCAAAAAAATACAAAATAATCTTGCAGAGATGCACAAGGACCTTATACTTTCACAGATAATGTATATAATGTGTAGAATCAAATTCATTAATATAACAGTGCATAAAGATGAATATTTTTTATGCTTAATTTATATTTTAAGCGAAACAAACATAATTAGCGCGTAATTAATTTCCTCTGTGAAAGTGACACCTCACAGGGGTAAATAAAACAGAAATCGATTTTTGAGTCTAAACCTGCAATCCGAACGCCACGCTGAAGCCACGCCCACCAAACGCATATTAAATCGTATCAATCATCATGACTGAAAACAATCGAACTGGTAGTTACTTAAATAAATTAATGATCGTACTTCAGTGTGATTAAATGTCTGCGTACGATTCAGAGGTGAAACATATTAAAGAAAAATAAATCAATAAACAGAATAATAAAGAGTGACCGACTTTATCGCCACCTTTGGTTGACATTTAAACGGTCAATAAAACAGAGAATATAACATTTCAAAACTTACAGAGATCAGCGAAATGATGATCAAACATAACATTTAAAACCATCATTAAAAAACAAAACAAAAAACATAAAAAATAAAAAAAAAACCGAGATGAATGACTGAACTCATCCTACCTGAGTGTGGATGATTTTGTGCCGGCACAGCGTGCTGGCCTGTCGGAATCCCTTCCCGCAAACTTTGCACACGAATGGTCGAGCGCCTGTGTGTACGGGCATGTGGCGGGTCAGGTTGTAGTGCGCGTTAAAGACCTGAACAGGAGGGGGGGAACCCGAGACAAAACAAATAAATAAACAAAAAGCAACACCTTGTCAACAAGAAAAATATAATCATTATTATTTTAATAATAATAATAAAATAATAAAATGTCAGCCGACTACATTGCTCAGTTAAAGGTTAATTATGTGGAAAAAAAGAAGAAGAATGGGTGCCTGTAATTATTAGATTAAGTCTAATTATGTGTAATCTGTTGGGGGTAATTTATTGGACTTGGAATACACGGAATGGGTTCATTGTAACACAATAACAAATCTCTAAAGATGCGCAGCATGAGCCAAAATTTAAATTCCTGAACAACCCACCAAGTAGGCATTACGGTAATTTGGTCCTTTTAAAATGAGTTTTAGAGAAATTATAAATGTTAAATTCGATAAATTCCATCTGTTATTTCAAGTAACCACAGCAAACCTCCGTTTTTTCCTTTATTTATGTACTCTGCGCTTCCAATCCGGGACTCCGTTTATTAATTTTGCGAACTAAATGCCGGGTCTGCACACTCTAAAAATTATATTCGACATATGTATGCATTTTTATTTTAATGCATACATATGTCGAATACTTTTTTGTTTTGTTTTTTAGTCAGAGTTATTTTTTTTAAGGTTGTTTAGATCGTATAGAGTGACCGAGTGTATCGGACACTATATTATTTATCTAACCCTAAACACATCCATTAAACAAAACTTAACCTTATGTAAAAGGATCGAGTATTTGTAAGTTAAACACTAATAACTAATCAAATCCAACATTTAACTTGCACTAGATTACTTGTTTAAAATATCTTCAAAACCTCCGAATTTTTCCGTAAAAAAATTAAAATAAAAAAATAAAAAAAAAGAGGGTGAGAGATAACTAACATCAATTCTGAAAATAAATCCATTTTCAGTTTCCTTCTGTGGATAAAGAGTAAATAAATTCAATAATCCGCGCTGACGCTCACCTTACCGCAGACCTCACAGGTAAAAACTTTGGGCTTGCTACCGGGACAGGAGCCGCTGAGCCTGGCGCTTGCCGCTGCAGCTGTCGCGGAGCCCTTGAAAATCTTGTCACTCAGGATCTGGTCCCTCTGCTTTATGTAGTGAATCTGGTTCGGAGATAGATCCTTGAAGGCCTGCACGCCGGAACCCGCGTACCGCTCCGCGGCCTGTTGCATGCCGGTCTTGCTCTTCTCTGCCATGAAGGCTTTATGTCGGGCAGTGAACAGGTACGAGGCCATAGGGTGCAGGTTCACCAGGCCAGCCGGCGGTGGACACGCTCCGGAATCCCCGCTGCAATTCAGGTAGCAAACAGTGCCCATCGTGGGAAAAGAGGACTGGTTTACCACCCTGGGTCTGAAGAGTTTGTACTGCCCGGTGGTTTGGCTGACAGCAATGTCTTCTTGTTGATTTTTATAGTTTAGCCCAAACCCCAAAAATTCTGCGGGAGCCGGGAGAGAAGAAGCGTCTAAGTGGCCCGGATCCAGCCCTGTGATACTGAGCCGGTGTCCCGGCTCATAGCCGAGCGGTACCAGCGGGATCATGCAATGCAGCGAGGACGGATATGCTTCGGGTTTCCCCACTGGAGCGGACTGAAACCAGTTGGGGAGCGGTATTGACTTGGGCTCGGGTGTCCTGGCCATAATCCGGTCGATGGAGAAAGCGAGAGGCTTGCTGCTGCCGCCGGAGGTGAGCATTTCTGAGCCCGCAGGTTGGCTCCCTGAAGCCGTGGGGGAGCCAAGGATCCCTGCTGGGCGGCGGAGAGGACCGTCCATCACCTCCGCATCAACCGGGTTGCGACAACAACAACTAAAGCTGCTGGAAAGAAGATGAGATCGGCGCTGCTCCTCACCGGCACGCAGAAAAGGACATCATCCGCCAGGGATCCCCCAACCCCACCCCCACCAAAACACAGGCCCTGCTTTCCTGGTTGTTGACGACAATCAGGGCGCCCGAGGCTCGTTCGATATCGGTGGGGCAAGAGCCGAGACCTTGCCGATCGTTACCGTCCAAGAAGGAGAGTGGAAAAGTAGATAATTTGCTCAATTCTCCTCTGTCGATTCTCTGCGTTTGTCGCCGCTGGAAGAGGAGGAGGAAAGTGTTCTTTACTTGGCAGGACTCCTGCTCAACTGAAAGGTACTTGGTGAATCCTAGGTCCCCTTGTGGTTTTACGTGACATCTTTTTTTTTTAAATCGTGATGAGCCAGACGCGCAGCGGCTGCAGGGTCAGGAACTGTCAGTGTTTTAGATCAGATTTGGACACGTCTTTGGCTCTCAAAACCCAGCCCTTTTACGCACGGTTCAAAGAAGACAGGGACATGTCATGTAGTTGAATTCAAAACAGAAAACAGATCGAGATATTGAGCAGAAAATGGATTTGATGTCATTGATGTCAGTCTGGATGGGTTTAGAAATCAACAACTTTAACTCAAAGCGCCCTTTTTTTTCTTTTACGCACCAGATTTTTAAATCTGAAAAAGCGGTTTGGAAAAAAGCGACTAATCGAGACAAAGAGATGGACAGAAATCTGCAGTGAAAATGCTCACTCTCCCCTATCGAGTCTTATCCTTTTTTCCAGTCACACGAATACAAGCAACTCTTTTATCCACAAAGCACAGAGCCGGTGGGCTGAAGCGCAAATTCCACAGGATGAATGAATGAAACCAATGGCGCACGAACCCACAACAATAGCTCCATCCTGTCAGTGATGGAGGCAGAGAGTGAATGGGCAGGTTCGGAGTGGACTGAGCTGAATTTGCCCTTCAAGGGTTTGAACAAAAGATGAAGAGAAATAAAAGTGACCGTCGAGGGCCCAGGGAGCGACAGCAGAAATTAGAGTGAACACAGTCACATCAGAAAAGAAAAGGTTAACAAGGTATTTGTGTTGGTTGACTATTAGTATAGTACACGCATTTCTTTTTCTTCTTCAGTGTCTCTCAGTTGGCTTAATGTAATAATGTTTTGTTTTGAAGTCAAACTGTTTTAAATAATGAGGGAATTAGATGGAAGTTGAATGTTTGTGTGTTCTTGGACGATGGTTTTTAATGAGTCAGGGGTCACAGAGGCTCAACAAATCAAGTATTCGTTTACACGTAATAAAAGTGTGATAAAATAAATTATGCGCCCATTATTAAAGCAAGAGACATTGCAGTGTTAACGTGAGGCCACGTCTCTCCTCACTTATCTACTAAAGCCTTACAGCACCAGTTTTAATCTGTCCAGCCGAGTTTCGTTGCTTTTATGTCATAGAAGTATTAGACAACTTATCATTTTTAATTGAAGTTATAATAATAATAGTAGTAGTAGTACTATAAGTGTATAATGTTGGGTGTGCGTCACCCCCCCCCCCCCCACACACACACACTAGACATAATTCTTATACCCTAAAATTAGAAATGTTCCCACATTCTCTCCTATTAACACACACAAGACACCACACACACACACACACACACACACGCACACACACACACACACACACACACACACACACACACACACACACACACACACACACACACAGTTATACTTACATTAATTACTAAGATCTTCATATCTGAGCGTCAGGCCACGTCTCTTGTTATATACTGAAAGATCACAGCAGCAGTTTTACTCTATTTAGCCAAGTTTTCCTTTTTGCTTCTTTTTGCTAGAAACACCGCAAGACTTATTAATTATATTATAAGTCACGTTCTGAGAGTTATTATCATTTTCATTATTAAGCAACACGTTAAATCACTTCAAAATATTGTGATGTCTGTCAGCTAATTACATTTACGTCTAAATAATTAGCCATACTATTAATAGCAATATTAATAACAATTATTATAAATTATTGTTGTTGTTTCATTGATTTTTTTGCCCATAAAGGCTTCTTATGCCAGAGCCTCTAATACACCACTGTCGTGTTAGCGCCGCATAGACGCTGCTTCTGTGTAAACTGACTTTTCACCACTTCATATTTTGAACTGAACTAATAAACAATACTTTTAAAAATAATTATGAGTGTCATCACAAGGAGTAGGTTATTCTGCCAACCTACCCTGGATTTTCGCGGTGTTATTTTTTCCCCCTGTTAATTCAGTTCTTACATTTTGTTCTTGAAATATTAATTTCTCTTAACTTTATTTCATACTGTGCAACTAAATGTATTTTTTTAAAATAATAATTTTAGAACTTTAGAAGTAGAACTCCAAACCTGTTCTACTTGTTTTATTTTATTCTCCTCAAACAGTTACAGGAGAAAGTATTTGTCTTTACCAATTTCTGAACAGAATGCCAATAAAATGAAAGTAAAAGTCTTGCTTTAATGGTACTTCTTTTGATTAATCGGTGACAGATTTATTTTGAAAATATTTTACGATTTTTTTTTTATTTAATACAGTTCAAATGAGAACATAATATAAACAAGACCATGAATTTTGCTAAGAATTATCACGATATTAGTGACCTGGAGAATGTGTGTCCTATCGTCTGCTGACTCAGATAGTCTTATTGATTTTTATGTGAGCGATAAATGTTTTGTGAGTTTTTAGTTGTTAGGCATTACTGAGGATTTTATTACAAAAAAGAAATTAATCCTTAGATTTTTTTAAAAAACTTTCTGGTCTGTCTGGAAATGACTCAGATCTCCACCATGCTTGTTGTGTTAGTTACCTATTGAATAAAGATGCTACATATCCAACACTGTTTCTCAGATTTTAGATGATTTTCCCTGAAACTGAAAACAAACATTAAATTACACAAACACACACATACCTAACATTAACCTAATTGCAGCCCTGACACTAAAACCACATTTTGAGTCTCGAAAACGCCTTCAAACTTGTGGGGACCGGGATTTTGGTCCCCACGAGGGCTGTTTGTCCCCACAAGTATAGTAAATACCAATTTTTCGTCCCCACGAAGATGTTAATACACACACACACACACACACACACACACACAACAACACACACACACACACACACACACACCCACACACACACACACACACACACACACACACGTCTAAACACCTTCACACTCGTTTTTTCTTTATTTTTACTACTTTCTACATTGTAGATACAAACCAAAGACATATCAAGATATATGGAATTATGTAGCAAAGAAAATATTGATAAATGACTCTAAATATGTCTGATATGTTAAATTCCGTAAAGTAGCCTCCCCCTGCTTTGTTGACAGCACTACAAACCCTTGGCCTTCTCTCTGTAAGCTTCATGATGTAGTCAGCTAAAATGGTTTCACTTCAAAGGTGTGACTTGTCAGCGTTCATTTGTGGAATTTCTTGGCTTCTCAGTTGTGTTGTGTAAAAGTCAGGATGGTCCACAGCTGACAGCCCCATATAACAACTGTTAGAATTTAGCTGAATGGTTCTTCCCATAATATAAGTAAAGAGAAATGAAAATCCATCATTACTTTAAGAACTGAAGATCAGTCAAAATTGCTGCAATTTTGATTGTGTCCCCAAGTGCAGTTGCAAAAACCATCAAGCGCTACAACGAAACTGGCTCATATGAGGACCGCCCCAGGAAAGGGAGGCCAAGAGTCACCTCTGCTGCTGAGGATAAATTCACCAGACTCAGAAATCACAAGTCAACAGCACCTCAGATTAGAGCCCGGATAAATGCCACACCGAGTTCCAGGAGCAGACTCATCTCTACATCAACTGTTCAGAGGAGACTGCACGAATCAGGCCTTTATGGTCAAATAGCTGCTAAGAAACCACTACTAAGGAAAAGCAACAAGCAGAAGAGATTTGTTTGGGCCATTAGACCAGTGGAAATCTGTGCTTTGGTCTGATGAGTCCAAATTTGAGATCTTTGGTTCCACCCGCCGTGTCTTTGCAAGAAAGGGTGCACGGATGGTCTTTATATGCATGGTCCCACTGTGAAGCATGGACTTTCTAAAAGTACCATGGGAGGAAGAGCCTTCAGCTGTCAGGCTCCTTTCCTGTGTTCAAAGTTGGTACCATAAAATTTTTATGCAAATTGGAGATAGTCACGTTAGTTTCTGTGTTATTTTGCTAGCTGTTTTCTTTTTGCGCCTTGTATTTAGTTTTACTTTCTTTGTTTCATCATCTGTGATTATTTTTAGCTGTTCATGTTTCTGAGGCGTTTCCACTCCCAGTGTGTGTGTGTGTGTGTCCACAGTTATCCATGGGTTTCTGTAGATGGATTATTTTAGCTTTCCATCGTCTTATTCTACTCACGACTTGCTTTAGTCGTTTACATTCCAAGAGGTAAACTAAAGTTCAGAGGACATATGACCTTGTAATTAATCAACAGGGCAAAGCTTGTAATAGACACACTGGTTCATTGTGTGGATGTTACACTTTGCCTCTTTTAGGTGCGAAATGCACACATGCAGAAGTTGCACACCAGGAGGGGGAGATAATATATTTGAGCAAAAATGTTGCTGACCAGGAAAGGTATGAAGTACATTCCAGGCTCCTTCTTAGGTAAGATTAAGCTAGATGGCAAGTGAATTTACATGTAAATGTGTTAGTAATGTCTCTTTAAATGCTTGTTTTCATTTTGGCTTGAAATAAAACATTGCCCACTGATGGAACCCAGCTTACTCCAACTTCTGCATGCACGTCCATTTCACACTCACGTGAGACAAAGCATGACATCCACATGGTTGACCAGCTTGTCTTTTACATGCTTTGCTGTGATGTTGGGTTAAATTTAAAAAAAATTAAAAATAAAGATGAGCTGATTTGAAAAGGCTGGTAAAAAAAATGATTTGCCTTTGAAGAATGAAAACATAACTCAATTTATTTCCCCAAGTGAAATACACCCTTCCCTCCTATAACAAATGTATCCAAAAGGCTTTAAACAACAGCCTAACTGGTGTTCCCCTGTCATCATCACAGGAAGTGATGCTAAACAAACCAGAATTCCACATGGATTTTAGCTGTTGCAGCCAAAGACTCCAAGCTATTAATTGATTTATACTCAGTTTATCAGTCTTTAAGGCTACCATCTAGCTAGTAATAAGATGCCTTTTCAAAACAGAAGGTAACATTTGCCAGATATATACTGTCATTAGCCAGAATGTTTTGTCAGACTTCACCTTTACCAAGAACCAAAGGTTTTCAGTTTGTGTACAAGCTCTGCATTCAGTGCTGTGTGAAGATGTGTCTGTTTCCTCTTGAACGTCTCCAAAAATTTCACAAGATGAGCTATTCCATATTCCACACTCCACATTTGCAAGTCAACAGATGCATCAGGGGAGGCTGGGGCTCTCTGGCTGTCATGGAGTATTTGTTCCCTTTCACTTGTGGCTTTCATGACTCATAGTTTGTCTGCATAGTCCAGAAATTTCACTATCACAACCCCAGGTGGCAGGAGACCATATCTCAACTTTAGCTCCACTACCAATTCTGCATGCTGATATAATCACCAAGTCCTCATGGAGCCACTTTTTGAAGAAAGTACACCAATCAGCACCTTGCTCTTCCTCCCAGAGAGAGAGCCCAACCAAATATTTGAACAGCAACTCCAGTTTTCCAAGTCATCCATTTTACATTGTAGTATATTTTATGGCAGTAGTTTAGTTTCTCAAAAACATTGATATCACTTTTCTTAGTTCTGGTCATTTTGGTCACTATACCCAATAATCACAAAGTGAACAAAATCATTGAAAATCTTGCAAATTTATTACAATTAAAAAACAAAACCATAACATGTACAGTAAGTATTCACAGCTCAACACTTTTTGGAGTACTTTTTACAGCATTTCTTTAGGCTCAAGTGTTTGCTAGTATGACACTTCAAGCTTGGCAAACCCATTTTTTAGCAACACGTTCTCCAATTATTCTTTGCAGAACCTCTCAACCTCCATCAGTTTGAAAAGGGAGCCTTAGTGAACAGCAATTTTCAGATCTCTCCAGAGATGTTCAGCTGGATTCAAGTGTGGCTTCTGGGCCAATCAAGAACATTCACAAAGTGGTTCTGAAGCCACTCCTTTGTCATCTTGGCTGTGTGCTTAGGGTACGTTAGGTTCTTCTTTCTCCACAAAGCAATACTGGAGCTCTGTCAAAGTCACCATTGGGATCCAACAGGTTCTTGGTCACCTCTCCGGCTTTCTACCCAATCAGTCAGATCGGCCAGGTAGCCAGCTCTGGGAAGAATTCCTGGTTCTTCATTTTCCATTTATGGATGATGGAGGCCACTGTATTCATTGGGACCTTCAATGTTCCAGAAAGTTTTTCTCTACCCCTTCCCAGAACAATTCAGTCTCAGAGGTCTACAGACTTGGACTTCATGCAACTTTATATCCTGTCAGATATGAAAATTATGCACTTTCGACTTTGCACTGCAGAGTTCCCACATGACACACCTCACTTCTGTTTAAAACTCAAAATTGTTTCTCATTTACCCCTTTATTCTTTAATATTTTGTGTTCCATAACTAGTCATATGAATTGTTATCTGGAAAATCCTTCAATTTTCCATTAATTTTTAGCAGCCAATGATGCACAGGTATTCCTTGCAGCATGACATTTTACACTGTCTTGCATGAAGGTGATTTTGTTGCGGAAGGCACAGTTCTTCTCTTTCTATCGTGTAAGAAAGTGGTCAGTCAGAAACTCCACATACTTTGCAGAGGTCCTTTTGACACCTTCAGGGACCCTAAAGGAGCCGACCAGCTCTCTCTCTGTGATTCCGGCTCAAAAAATGACTCCACCCCCTCTTTGCTGACGATGCAGCCTTGTTGGGACATGGTGGCCATCCACCAACCATCCACCACTGCATCCATCTGGACCATCCAGGGTTGCATGGCACTCATCAGTTAACAAGAATGTTTGAAAATTAGTCTTCATGTAGTTCTGGGCCCACTGCAGCTGTTTCTGCTTGTGAGCATTGGTTAGGGGTGGCTAAATATAAGGTTTATGCACAACTGCAAGTCTCTGGAGGATCCTACACCTTGATGTTCGCAGGGCTCCAGAGGCACCAGCAGATTCAAATATGTGTTTGCTGCTTTGTAATGGCCTTTTAGCAGCTGCTCTCTTAATCTGAAGTATTTGTCTGGCAGAAACCTTCCTCATTGTGCCTTTATCTGCATGAACCCGTGTGTGCTCTGACTCAGCCACAAATCTCTTAACATTATGGTGATCATGCTTAAATTTTTGTGAAATATCTAAGGTTTTCATTATGTGTCCAAGGCATTCAACTATTTCATGCAACAGCAGAGAGATCCTTTTTCCTTCCTATATTGCTTGAAAATGGTGGTCTGCTTAATAATGTGGAACATCCTTCTTTAGTGGTTTTTCCTTTAATTGGGCTCACCTGGCAAACTAATGATCACAGGTCTCTGAGATTGATTTCAGTGATCCACAAATCCCTGAGACACAATTCCATCCATGAGTTTAATTGAAAAACAACTTATTTAATCTTTATGACACTTAAACACAATTTGCATAATAATTTGGAACTCTGTGTAGATACAGAGATGAAGAGCTATGATATAAGTTAGGTCTCAACATCCAAAAGAGCAAATCATGAGCTCACAGTAAAAACTCGAAATATCTTAAAATTCAAACCGCTGGGTAAAAGACCCAGGACTAGGACCGACACAAACATGATCAGAGGGTTAAATTAACTGGCAGATTATTGCAAACATTTGATCTGAAGAATACACTGAAATCAGTATGTAGCAGAGCTTCTGACATGAACTTTAAACATTGAAGCTTGGCTCTTGAAGGATGACTACAAATCACATTTTAAATTGCACAACATAATTTATAAGCATTTAAGCATGGAAATTATTATGTATGATATTGTTTTGTTTTTTAAACAGGAATTGGCTCATTGGTGTGGCAAGGACAATGGAAAGCTACGTTAAATATACAGTTGGAATTTGCTAAAATTCGCAGCTGCCCACATGCACAACCCAAATGCCTTCTGGAGAAAGGTTTATGGCCAGACGAAACAAATAGAGCTATTTGGCCACAATGATATGAACGATAACAGGTATACTTGGAGGAGTAACTGTGAGGCTTTCAAAATTAAATATACTGTATCAACTGTCAAGCATGCTCTGGGGCTAAAGAGTATGATGGCATTGAAGCATGCCATTATTCTGGGGCTATTCTGCTGCCAGTGGTACTGGTACAATGGCACTGGTGCACAAAGCGGATGGAACAAGAAGGACTACCTCAAAATGCTGCAAGATCACCTGGTGGTTGAAACTTGGACACAATTGACCTTCCCAATGATGAAATGACCCCATTTGATCATTTTAGTCTTAAGTAGCTTGATCACTTGAGAGTTAATGTTCAATTGTCATTTCAGTGGTCCACTAAAACTAACACTACTGATGAAAACTGGGCTGTGAAATCAGTTTCTTGACCATTAATATACAAATTGTCATAACCATTGATCAACATCCACTGATCAGTTTCAGTCATTATCTAAATGTACTGTTTATAAGGTTGGGGAAAGCTGCATTCAGCTGAGACTGAAGAAGTCACTTAGATGAGTGATGAAATCTTCAACTACAAACGCTACGTCCAGATGAACAGAAACAACTTTTGGGGTTTTCCTTACCTGGATGATGCATCAAGACATCAGTAACTTAAATTTGCTGATGTGAAACCTAAGCAAAGACGAGCTACATGTGCCTTTGTCAGCATCTACATGTAGCCACACCCCTAAAAATGCATTACTTCAGTACCAGTTGAATGTGTCCATTCACTTACCATGAAGGGAGAAATTAGCTATTAGCTTAGCAATTTTTACATGTGAGTAGAATCAATATACGTTGTACTGAATAATGCAGCAAATGGCTGAAGGGAATAAATAACTAGCAAACATTTTGTTTTAATCTGGGGTACAGGGCATTTCCAACGTTAAGCTACAGCTGTGAGCAAAGACATAATAGAAAGCGCCTCCAATTGCTAAGCTTTACTATACAAAGTTGCACCAGAGCATGGCTGTATGTCCATAAATCAAACCGCAGAGAATCTGGGAAGCACTGATAGTCACATCTAATGCATTAGTGCGCTCTGTCTATCATTCACACACATTCATACTCTGATGACCAAAATCGGAGAGCAACTTGGGGTTGAGTATCTTGCCCAAGGATACTTTGGCATGTAGGCTAGAGCAGCGGTCCCCAACCTTTTTTGCGCCACGGACCGGTTTATGCCCGACAATATTTTCACGGACCGGCCTTTAAGGTGTCACGGATAAATACAACAAAATAAAACTAGTACCGGTACCAAAACAAAGAAGATTTATTCATAACACACGTGAAAAGACCCAGGAAAACCGATAAAACGATAAAAACGATAACAAAATAACACTCAAAACCAATAAAAATCCTGAAAACCATACATTTCACACCTGAGCCTCAACTCTCGCGGCCCGGTACCAAACGACTCACGGACCGGTATCAGTCTGAGGCCCGGGGGTTGGGGACCGCTGGGCTAGAGTAGCCAGGGATGGAACCACCATACTTCCAATTGGGTGACTGTACCTCCTTGCCTACAGTCACCCCTATAATGAAGTAAGACTACTCACCTCCTTTACTACGACTGGTTATTGTGTTGTTAGCTCTATCATGAGGTGGACTGGAAAACACTCATAGCATCTCATATTGCATATTTGTGTGAATGTGTGTAAACTCTATATAACATATAAACACTATATAGTACAGCTACCTGCAGTGAACTATACCTACCAGGATGGTTCATCAGTAGTGGCTAAAAAGCTCCATAGTTTCAAACTTGGCTATGTAGTGGAAACGGGGGAATCAGTAACCAATTTTTAGCTATAAGGAAATGATAAGCTCTCATTAGGTATTTTTTGTGTTTAGCCCTCCCCTCCATATGCCAAATTTGCAAATTATTAATATAGAAAGTTTGGTACGTTATCACCTGGTGTGACTCAAAAGGATTAAAAATTTTGAGATACTTTCCCTCAAACCACCATTGAAAACTCCAGCTGACCTTGAGTCTATTTGTACATCTAATTTTTGACCCATTTGACCCCTTTTGTACCTTATTACATTTCAGAAAAAAAACACTGCATCTCACTACATTTACTTTAGATTTATGTCTTTTTATTTACTGATTTCAAGAATTCTAACATATGTGCACATGTTGTGCATCACTATGTTATAGAAATAAATTGTATATAATTGTAAATCAGACAAGAACTGAAACAGTGGAGAAAATACCATGGAGATGTACAACCAAAACTTAGAGGTTTCTGAATGCCAAGAGCGTCAACAGTTGTTGATGAGCTGTTAGCAAAACAACTACAGCAGAATAGAGCATCTCTCTGGCCAATGCAATCTAGCACTAATTGATAACTTGTCTTTGTTGAAACACCGCAGCAATACTTCAGCCACAGTACAAGAAAAAAAAAATCTGTTAACTATTCTTTCAGCTTTGTGTGAACTACTTAGTGAAGCGTAGTAGTGTGTCACAGACTGCAATCGAATGTCCATTACAAAGGGTGATAATCAAGCAGTAACCGGTTGTGTGCAGATGTGTGTTTAGTCATCCTCTACATCACTGTCTCTCGTGCTGATGCCCCGTAGGCCATCACCTGCCTTGACAGCCACAGTAGCCTCCTCCATCGTCAGCCTGTTGTAGATGGTTTCATAGCTTTTGATGTTCAGTGTGCTGTCCTGGACTCCCTGCAACCTGAAGTCATGATAGGTCTTCTGTTGAGGTGAGAAGAAGATAAAAAGAGAAGGAATAGAAAAAAAATACAGAAACCATCTCTGGAATGTATTAAGCAGGATAAGGTGTGTGCCATTCACTGTTCGAAAGGACAAAAACAGGAAGACTGAGGCCCAAGGACGTGCAGTCTTTTATGTGCCATACCAGGGCGACAGACGATAGCATCCAAGGAATAATGTTTGCACCTTACATGAGGGCTATTATAATTCATTGTCTCATTGCTTTCAAGTTAAACTCTGTATATTAGCAACCAATGAAAAGACAAAGAGAGCTGGAAGCAACAACAGCCCAGAGTTGAGCATTTTTTTTCCTTCACGTCTCCCCGCCTCTTCACACTGCTACTTACAAGGACACGTCAATGTCTTTATTATTTCTTCCTTTCCCTTTTTGTCAGATCTGACTCTTTTTGCACAAATAAGCCAGATTCTAAGATGTTCCTTTAATTGAATGGAGCCAGTCTCGGGTGATTCACTCCATTTTTTTTTTAAACATTAAAGAAAAGATGGCTTAAAATGTGGTAGCTGAACGCAATAGGTCATTTTGAATGACAAACAATCCCTTTTGGAAAAATGGACATCTTTGTCTATCAAATGGTTAGGCTTGGTCTCTCTTACATACTTCACGTTTATTTACCTTAACAATGTTGATGAGTGTTTTCAGCTGATACATGTGCAGCTGCAGGTCCAGTCTGTCAGTGAGCCAAACACATATCGCCCTCATGGAGTCAGTGTACCATTGCTGTAAGAAACAGAAACAAACCAAACAGGACAAAGATAATTATGAGAAGAGAAAACAGTAGCTAGGGATAAGTCGAAGGCCCAAACTATCAGCTCTAAATATTTATCAGTTTGGCTGCTTCAACACCGGATAATGACAAAAGTAGATTTTAAATCAATCAATCAGGATGTTTTTGAAATGCAGAAATGCTTTGTTTCAAGGGGGCTAACATAAGCATTGATTTGAGTATTTAGAAATTACAGCCATTTTTCTACAAAGTGCTGATCGTCAGAGATTCAAAAGTAATTGAAAATTTTTAAATAAATTGGATCAAAATCGTTTGCTTTCTATGAGTGCATGAAGTCCAGACCTGATGAACAACACAAGTTTTTGTATTTAACAACCAAAACACATACTATATTAGGTTGAGATCAGATGACTACCTCAGTGTTATTGCCTGACTTGATAGGGGTGACTCCATTTCACCCTATCACTAGTATCCTGCTCTGTCACACTAGTCCTCTTCATATCATTCACTACAACCATCAATCTTCTGTGTGGTTTTCTTCTTCTCTATCTCCTGCTTGGCAGCTCCATATTTAGCATTCTTTGTTCAATATATCCATCATCCCTTTTCTGCAAATGTCCAAACCATCTCAGCCTTACCTTTCGAATTTTGCTCAACCTCAGGCCGTTCCTCTGATGTATTCATTTCTAATCCCTTCTATTCTGACCACTTCCAAGGAAAACCTTGACATTTTCAGCTCTACCACCTCCAGCTCTGTCTCCTAGCTTTTTGTTAGTGTCACCACCATTTTCAAACCACAGATCATAGCAGGTCTCACTACCATCTTGTAAGTCTCCACCTGTTCCACCCTGCCTGGAATCTCCTGTTCATCTCTTGTGTACTGCCCTTGCTTTGGAAGGTTGACCTCAAATGTTTAAACTCACCTGCCTTCACTATATCGACTCTTTGCATGTTCACCTGTCCAACTATCTCCTTTTTATTCATATACATGTATTCTGCCTTGCTCCTACTGATTTTTATTCCTCTTCTCTCCAGAGAATACCTCCATCTCAGGCACCTCCAGGCTCTCTCTCACCTGCTTTCTACTGAATCGGAATTAGAAATGATTATTCATGCCTTTGTTTCTTCACAATTGAACTATTGTAATTCCTTGTATTTTTTGTAGGTCAATGTACAAACACGCACAGGACTTTATAAAACATGCAACATTTTACAAAGTCACTGCAAACACTGCAAACGTACATGACTTTGCAGCATTAAAATGAATAAACCATGTGAAGATCTGTGTACTGGATTTTGTAGTATGTATAAAGTGACCTTTGACTGGTAGAGCACATTCCTGGAGAAAGCTTTTTCAAGTCTGTTTTTGAAGTCAATAAGGCCAAGAAAATACTCTGAGGAGCATCTTTAAACATTTTTCTTTTCAGTTGCAGCCATACCCCTGAAAAGATACTAATAAAAACTATACTATTTTAATTTAGCTACAGATACTCTGAACAAGAACAGTTTATGGTTTTCATACCTGTGTGTTCACCTTCAGATTAGTTTACGTGTTAGCCGTTTGCTTGTTGACAGATCTAAAATGCCTTGCTTTAATTCAGCTGACAACACCACAATGTAAGGTCAAAGGACATGTGCTAACAAAAGTGCAAAACTCAAAGAGGGTAAAACATTTATTTATTCAAAGGCACCAATTTACTGGTGAAGTCCTGAATACGAGGACAGAGTTCAGGGCTCTGCTTTGAACTTCAAAGAGTTGGAAAAAAATCAGGTTCCTTCTTTGTAATGTTCATTAAATGATCTTCCTTCACACCTTCCACCAACAAGCCACAGCTGCAGGAAAATCAAACACACCTTTTCTCACCTAAAGAGCAATCCTCACTTACAGAAACATTCAAAATGCTGCTGGTAAAATGCACACACTGGGTGGCTTTATTCAGTTACCAGTCTTACAAGAATACTTGCGGAAATTGCTCTGACACAGTAATGACCCGTATATTCAGATCTGCTCTGAGAGATCACCGCTGACTTAATTCTATACAATGGCAAGGACTGTAATTACCTTCCCATTTAAGAGAGAAAAACAGTCCAAAGGTTTTTCACACACTTGACAAAAGCCAAAACACATCCATGATTACGCAGCTGTCATGCAAATATTTGATTCATTCTATTGTGAAAGCAACCTGTAACCTCCTACATCCTGGCTCCCAATTATACCAAAGTAATAAGTTTTTCACTCAGTCTAAGTAGCTTAGCCTCGAGGAAATGCAACAAAATACAAACTTAAAAATTAGGGTTTAAGTTCAGTCACCGTTCCTGATTTGATTATTTTTCTGCCCAGGCTGCATTAAAGCATTTTCTCTCTTTAAAAGTCTTATCTTTTCATCTCGAAAGTAATCAAACGGTGAAAAATTATATGCTTTTAAAAGAAAATTAACTTCTTCTTTAATCAAGAATTTTACATTGCAAAAATGAGCTTGCCAAATTGTGCCGCAGTGGAGTAGAAAAGCACTATACGAGAACCAATCGATTTACCACAAGAAGATGGGAGACCTAAATAGTTATTTTTTAAATAATTTATCTTTAAATAATTTTTAAAAATAACTGTAAGCTGATCAAATGAGAACTAAATTTTGCGCTGCTGTATTCATTACTGTTGAACTAGATGATGACGGTTCTTCTTGGGGAGCAGCATTGGTGCTGGTGACACCAACAGACTGAATGAAGGAAGGCTGGCTCTGCGATTGGCTGCAAATTTAAAACTTGTGAAGGTTTTGAAACAACTAATAATCAGGAGTCGGGCTCGGCACTTTAGTTCCAGTGAAATGAACTCTTAAGGATTCAACATACCAAGAACTTTTTGACAATTTCATGTTTCCAACTTTGTGGGAACAGTTTGGATGGCCTCCATCTGTTCTAACATGACTGCGCACCAGTTCACAAAACAATGTTGTAAAGACCATGGATGAGTGAGTTTAACGTGCGAAAACTTGACTGGCCTGAACACCACTTTTGGACAATACCTTTGGGATAAATTAGAGCACAGTCAGGCCTTTTTGTGCAATATCACTTTCTGACCTTACAAGCGCTTCTGGAAGAATGGTCATGTCGGTAGCAAGCTAGGCAAAGATGCTCAGACCTCCGAACCTCCAACCCCCAGCTCCAGCTCTTCCAAGGGGGTACCCAAGTCATTACTGAGGTAACCGAGATTTCTCCAGTAGGTCGAGGGCCTGCCTAGGGTTCTCCTCCATCCCTGAGCCACTTCATCGATAACATGTCATGGATGTCTCAACCACCTTAACTGGCAGCTCAAGCAAATGATTTTTTTGGTCTCACCATTGAGAGGGCCAAAAGTTAGATAAAAAGCTTACACACTTTGCTACAGGCTTGTTGCTAGGTAGTTAGCGATGCTACACACCTGTGTTACACTCCTAGTCTATATGTTTGAATGATTCAGCCCTCCTTAGTTTTTGTTATCATATTTAGGACAGATGAAATCAGCTGCACGCTTACACTGAGGCCCAGAGTTACTGCAAATATCAGAATTATCTAGAAATTAAATGTTGTCATCTTTAGATTTTAACATAAGACTCACACTCATGGGAAATAATACACTATTAGCAAAACACAGAATGAAAGAATTACAGATTAAAGTTTTCAGTTAAAAATACAATTGAAGACCTTTTATCTTTAATCAGGTTTTATTTAATGCTGTCAGAGAAAATGTCGTGCCCTCTTCATGCAGCTTACTACATTGAGTTCAGTTTTACTTAGACAGCACCTAATTACAACAATAGTTGCCTTGTAATTTGGCGAGATGAGCAGCTTTCCTAAACACCAAACTGAGTTACTTTTTTATGCTTCTTTATAGTTACACGGATGTCTGTCTTTTGTGCGACCACATTGCACAATAAGGTAATTTAGTCTTTATACTTTTTCATCATTTAATTTTGGATCAATTTAAAATTTACTCTAATATTGAATACGTATGCAGCATTAAGAGTGGGAATATAGGATGATTTCTCTGTTGTCACAAGGTGGGATAGAGGTCTGAATCCAAGTGTGCAAGTCCTGTAATCACAAAGAGAAATGAATAATCACAAACTGTCAACTCTAAAGTTTATCCCTCGAAGCTGAAACCTTGTTTTGACGCACCTCGGAATCTTCCCTTACATTTCTTCAGTTTAATTGTTCTATTGATGTGCTGACGTCAGCATAACAGTAGAACAATACAATATATTAATTATACAATATAATATTTTACCTTTGACTCTCTGGTACTTTTTAAATTGAGATCGACAAAGATGATGTCGCAGGTTTCCAGTCAGTTTCAGTCGTGCTACTGCAGGAACACAAACATAACATAGGAGGCATGATCAGCGGTGTTCTGATCAGCTGCCTCAGTACTGGACAACATACATTAATGCTTCATATTATTTCTGTCAAAGGAAGTAAGCTGTGCACAGTACTGCACATGTAACTTGGTGAACTCAAATTAGAACCTCAATAAGAATAATTCAGATCGCATTTTAACCAGAGTACTTAAAACAAACTCTGTATCAAATACATAGATAAATGCAAAGAGTCGGTGCTAAAAATTTCATTAATGGAAAAATGAAACAAATTTGGACTTAACATGCCAAATGCTACCATTTGGCATTAGCACATAAATGTTAGATTTGGTTATTTCAATCGTAGGGGCTCAAATTGTGGTCATAAATATTTTGTAGTTGTAAATCAAATGCGTTGTTGTGAGAGTTGTGAGTTTTGTAACCTTGTAAACCAAAATACCTGAAAATTTTATGATTGTGCATCTATAGATGAGAATTTGTGTGTAAAAAAGATTTGTGTTTGTAAAAAATTATTTAGACAAGACACCTTTTTTTTGTTAAGGTCTGGTTACAGATACAAAGCAAAAACTACGTGTGAAACTCTGCGCTCAAGTTCCCTGGCTGTGTGTGAGTTTAAACTCACAAGTATGAATTTTGACCCA